GCATGTGAAACTAACATATATTTAATTGTTGAGTGCTTTATGTTTGTCTTCACTCAGCAGATTCATATTCTTTAGTTGGTTGTGTCAGTTGCTAAGCTTCTCTTGGAAATAGAGCGTCCAAGGAGATTCTGATGAAATGTCTAGTGACAAATGGTTTGAGATTGTGTGTTGGAAGAGTTTACTCTTTTTCCTACCTTTAGCCCCTTAAAATATGAAAGTGAAGAATAACCATAGTTCAGCAATTGAGTTAACATTAAATGAGTTTTCCTATTTTGTAATTGTAAATTTCCATAAGGTGTAAATAAGTACGGTCATAAAATATTGGTGTTATGTAAGAGTTTAAGATTTTTAGACCCACTTTCCCTATGCTATTCATTTTCTATTTTCAGAGAACAACATTGAGACTCTGTAAGGTTAAATGTCTTCTCCAAAGTCAATCAGCAAGTTAGTGACAGAGTGAAGGCTGGAACTTTTGTCTTTTCCTGAATTCTTTGGCTGGACCGTCACCAGATACTACCTGCTGTGTGACCATCTAGAATCTAGTCTGGGTCATTAAAAGAAGGAGAGCAGTCAAATCACTCTTGACAGAGCAGAAAGAGATGCATTTCTTTATTATGGCTTTTAAATGGTCTCTGCACCCTAGTTCATTTGGCTATTCCTTTATGGGTTACAAATGTATTTTGATTGTTTTGCTTGTTTGCATAAGGCAACTGGCTTTACCTCCTTCAGTAGTAGGAGAGATAGTCCCTAAGTCTTTATATAGTATTTCCTATGTGCCAGAGATTTGTCTAAGGGCTTTACACAGGTTAACTAATTTATGCTCCACAACAACGTTATGAGGAGATATATTATTATTAGTCCTGCCTTTCATATAAGAAAATGGAGGTACAGGAGACAAAGTAATGCCTAAGATTGCAAAGCCAGTATAATCAAATTTCTAAGATTGGAACTGGAGAATGCTAGAAAGATTTCATTGTCAGTAGAAACCTAGATGAATGGTTGCCCATGAGTTCTCTTTTTGCAAGGAAAGTGCCTTGAAACATGTTCTAAAGCACTAGATTTTATCTATATAGCTCTATAGAATCCCCATCAAGTTAGAATATATGGTTCTTCTGTATCACATAAATATTGATGACAAAGTATATTTATTAATGTTGATCACCACTGGAATAAATAGGAAAGTGAGCTGTTATGCTTGGTTCAGTGTTGATAACAAAACAGTATTTTATTTTAAGATTGTATTTCCCTTAGGATACCAGTATTAAAAATGTTTTTAGAAATGATGCTTCATCAGTTAAGAAAAATTATTGATAGAAGAGAATAATTTCTATATGATTGATATAGAATTTGTTCTTTGTTAAATATTCAGTTATATAGGAATAGTACCCATTTTTGCTCCCATATCTGTATTTGAAGTTAAGTAAAAGTTGTCATTTATGTATCAAATATTTTACAAGTGTAAAACCAACTTCCATTTGAACGATTAGCAATTTAAAACTTTAGTTTTACTGACAATGATTATATAGTAAAAATTTGCACATTTAGATAATTATGGGAGGATAGTTGTGATTTAACGAAAAGTTCATAACATTAATAATATATTTATTTATTTTTGTTTTTGTTGCATTTGCTTTTGGGGTCTTAGTCATAAATGTTTTACCTAGGGAATGTTGAGAATAGTTTGCCTTTGTAGGTTTTCTTCTAGAATTTTTCTTGTTTTAGGGCTTAGAGTTAAGTCTTTAATTCATCTTGAGTTAATTTTTGTATAATGTGAGAGGAGGATCCAGTTTCTTCTACGCGTAGCTATCCACTTTTCCAAGCACCATTTATTGAATAGAGTATCCTTACCCCAGTGTGTGTTTTTGTATGCTTTGTCGGAGATCAGTTGGTTGTAAGTATGTAGCTTTATTTCTGGATTCTCTAATCTGTTTCATTGGTCTATGTGTCTACTTTTATACCAGTACCATGCCATTTTGGTTACTGTAGCCCTGTATTTATAGAATAATTTGAAGTTGGGTAATGTGATGCTTCCAGATTTGTGCTTTTTGCTTAGGATTACTTTGGCTATTCAGGCTCTTTTTTGATTCCATAAAAATTTTAGGATTTTTTTTCTAATTCTGTGAAAAATGATGTATTTTGATAGGAATTGCACTGAATCTGTAGAATGCTTTGGGCAGCATGGTCATTTTCACAACATTGATTCTTCCAACCTATGAGCATGGATGTTTTTCCATATGTTTGTGTCATCTATATCTCTGCACAAAGAAATAATAGAATAAACAGATAACCTATAGAATGGCAGAAAATATTTGCAAAGTATACATCCAAAAAAGGATGTATCCAGAATCTACAAGGAACTCAAGAGAATCAGCAAGAAAAAAGCAAATAATCCCATTAAAAAGTGGGCAAGTGACATGAACAAACACTTCTCAAAAGAAGACATACAAATGGCTAACAAATATATGAAAAAATGTTCAACACCGCTAATCACCAGGGAAATGCAAATTAAAATAACAGTGAGATATCAGCTTACCCTAGCCAGAATGGTCACCATTAAAAAGTCAAAAAACAATAGATGTTGGTGTGGATATGGTGAAAAGCAAATGCTTATACCCTGCTGATGGGAATTTAAATTATTACAATGTCTATAGAAAACAGTATGGAGAGTTCTCAAAGAACTAAAAATGGAACTGCCATTTGATCCAGCAATCCCACTATTGGGTTATCAAAAAGATACCTGCACATGTATGTTTATGTCAGCACAGTTCACATTGCAAAGATACAGCATCAACATAAGTGCCCATCAACCGATAAATGAATAAAAACATGTGTGTATGTGTATGTGCATATATATATATGCACACATGTATATATATATGCACACACGTATATATACACACGTATATATATACACACACGTATATATATACACACACGTATATATATGGTGTGTATGTTTGTGTGTGTGTGTATATATACCATAGACTACAACTCAGCCATAAAAAAGAATGAAATAATGTCTTTTGCAGCGACTTTTGATGGAAATGGAGGCCATTATCCTAAGTGAAGTAACTCAAAAGCAGAAAACAAAATACTGTATGTCCTCACTAATAAGAGGGAGCTAAGCTATGAGTATGCAAAGGCAAACAGGGAGATGTAAAGGATATTGGAGACTCAGGAGGTGGGAGAAGGTGGGAGGGAGGTTAGGAATGAAAAATTGTCTATTGAGTACAATGTACACTATTCAGGTGATGGGTACACTGAAAGCTGAGACTTCATTATTATACAGTTCACCCATGTAACCCAAAACAACTTGTACTCCTAAAGCTATTGAAATTTAAAGAATTTTAAAACAGTAATACAAAGCTTATTTAGTATTATGCTATTTAGAAACAATATATTTAAATAAAATTTGAATAAATAACTCACAACCACTAGATGCTTCATGCTGATGAATATTTTACATCAAAACATAAATAGGCACTGCTTTGGACATGTGACTTAGTGGTGACTGTGTGTGTGTGTGTGTGTGTGTGTGTGTAATAAGTGGAGAATGTTGGAGAGGTGTAGATAGTGAACAGATTAGTTTAACAAAGTGTAATTTTTCACAGTTGTATTGGTATCGATATTCTAAATTCTATTATTGGTGTGCCTTACTTTATGGACTGGATGTGTGAATTAAAGAAAATTACCTGAAGGTCATGGTGTCTGTTCAAATGATTCATTCTAATATATGTTCTTTAGTGAAGAGGGGAAATATAGTGGCTCACCAATGTCTTAAAGGAACTATGACAACAATTGTGTTAAAGTATCACAGAAAATAAATATAAAGTGTCACAACTATTTTTTAGAGACATAAATGTCTATGGTTAGCTTTGCGTTTAGCACATTTGCTTAAAAGTTTAAAGGAAGGAGGGCAAATGAACAGAACACACTGAATTGTTTGGTTACACAGCTGCCATAACCCCACTTTAATGTTCTGTGAGTGTTGCTGGACAGCTCCTCTTGGTTGCTGTGATACTGTTTCCTAGCATTTCCTAGGAGCTATTGATTTAGGAATGAGCTGATTGAACTTAATAAGGGGGTATTTAGAGCATGGATGGGAAAAATGCTTTAAATATAGTAGCAACTGAATAAATCACAAAAATATTAGCAATAGTAAATGATAATTGGACAGGATGTTTAGTGAAATACATGATGGAGCGGGAGTAAGAGCTTAGCATGTGTTTAGCAAGTGTTTTTATTTAAACCCCTTTTCCATTTTCATTAAGATTGAATTTATATTCTGAGGTATTATCAAGTAAAGTAGCATGATGTCTTTTGTATTTTAAATCTTTTTGCCTTACTCTTTCCAGGACTGAAGTGTGTATGTCTTTTGTGTGATTCTTCAAACTTTACCTGCCAAACAGAAGGAGCATGTTGGGCATCAGTCATGCTAACCAATGGAAAAGAACAGGTGATCAAATCCTGTGTCTCCCTTCCAGAACTGAATGCTCAAGTCTTCTGTCATAGTTCCAACAATGTTACCAAAACCGAATGCTGCTTCACAGATTTTTGCAACAACATAACACTGCACCTTCCAACAGGTAAGGGGTTTATCTTTCTTCATTCCAAATTTAATTTTACTCTTGGAAAACTATAAGAAATGGTAGGAATCAAACTGTCTTATGTTTCTTTAAATAAGAAAATCTGTTTTACAGTTCTGTTTTTGATTTTGGCTGGTAAAATTCTCTAGAGTCTACTGAGGTTGAGTTTTTAAAAAATTGCACATCATTGTCAAAACATTGACAACAATGTAACAATTTTGAAGAAATTTGTCCACGTGATGTATTTTTGAAATGATTAATGGACCTAAAGTCAAATGTAAATTTTTTTGGATTTTTAAAAAAGAAATTGAGATCGCTTCTCGGCCTTTTGGCTGAGATCACGTGTAAAAGACATTGAGAAATATACTGAGAAGAAAAAGAGCATAACTAAAAATAGCAGATTGCCAACTTTTCTGGGGACAGAATCTTTTTTTCAGGGGCATCCTCTGCATATCTTCTCCGTCTACCCACATTCAAGTGAGAGCACACCCCAGAGAGATAGAGGCAGAGTGGAATTTGACCCTTCATCATTGTTGATATTTTTCTGCCTTTCGTCCAATTATAGAGTGCTTTACCCCAATTTATAAGATGCTAAAAATCCTGATCTGGCCCTTTATCAGTAACTGGGATCTGAAACTTTGGGAGACATTAAGGGGCATGTAATTCTGACTTTAAAACTAGTTTATGATGTGAAAATAATCCTGCTATTGAACTTCTTTAATATTTTTAATATAACAATAATTTAATGATTATCAATATAGATGTATCTATACAGAGATACATATACTTCCTTACAAATTAACATTTTAAGGCAATGTTATCCAAGCTCAGGTGTTCATATGTCATCATATCAGTATACCACTAACGTACTTTTTACCTATTTTTAAAATAAGCTAACCGCCTTTTAATTGAAAAACATTTATTGTATAAAATATAGTATCACTATCACAAATTTAAAAACTTGCCCTAAATAGAAGATAACTATGTAAACAAACAAAAAATGCTCCTGCATTTCAGTTAGGTATTTGCATTTTCTCCTTTTTAAAACAGAGAAGACAGAAGAATAAGACATATTAGCAGGAAATGAGACTTTTTGTTACAAAATCCAAAAAAACTAAGAGAATAAGAGAAGGAATCATAATATGACTCAGTGTTATTTAATATCATGTTTGTTTGCCATCCCAATTCATCTCAGAAAAACTCTTAAAGTAATTCTACGTACCACCACTAGTACTTATCCCAATCCTTGGAAACACTGTTGTAAGGCATTATCATGTATATTACAACCTCAAAAGTTATACTTGGCATGTTTCATCCCTGAACGCTACTTGCAGTCATGGATTTTAGACCATATTTATTCTTTCTATCTCAGATTCCATAGACTTCCTTGCTTTGGTAGTGATCTGGGATCTATTATGGGCACTTGTTTCCTTACGTTTTATCTCCCAGTTTATCTGTACACCAGAGACACCCTAAAGTGAAGGTTCCTTATGTTTGATGGTCTTCTCCGTAGCCAAATACAAAGGATTTTAGGGGTAAAAAAGAGTCTCCTCATTAGCTGTGGCAGTGACTTGTAATGTGTCTTGCCAATAGTGAATGATCCTCAAGACTATATTCTTTAACTACAATAAAAGGTATTAGAGGGCAAGACGTCTCATATGCAATTGGGCAAATCAAACGTACTCAATGCAGCTAGAATGTAGGTCCTTCCCAGCCTAACTGTAAGCACTGCCAAAGTACTGACAGGTCTATATGTTCTACCTTTAAGTTAATCAGTAACCAGTCTTTCTTTTTCAAAAATCAACTTTATTAAGGTCTAATTTAGGCATAATAAAATGCCCATGTTTTATTATTTATTTATTTATTCATTTACAAAAAATAGTTTCTTTATCGAGAATGTGTGTGATGAACAGTGGGAGGACAGTGGGTGATTAGATCTGGGTAATTAGTATATTCATCATCTCAAACCTTTATCATTTAAAATGCACAGATTTTAACTATATAGTTTGATGAGTTTAGACACATACATATGCCCTTGTAGCCACCACCACATCTCCATTACCTCAAAATGTTCTCAGTCCCACTTCCACCAGGGCTAGACCACTGATCTGTTTTCTATCATTGTAGATTGGATTTATTTTTCCTAGAGTTTCCCATGAAAGGAGCCATTATAAAACTTTTTTTTGAGGGGGGAGGAATTGGCTTTCTTCAGTCAGAATAATGTTTTTGAGATTCATTCATGTTGCTGAGTTTATCAGTAGTTTACTCCTTTTATTGCTGAATAATGCCCCGCTCTACATATATATTACAATTTTAAAAAATCCATTCATCCATTGATGTGCATTCAGGTTGTTTCCATGTGGAGGCTATTATTCGCAAAGCTGTTATGAGCATTCACGTACAAGTCTTTGGATATGTGCTTTTATTTCTCTTTGAAATTACCTAAGGGTGGAACTGCAGGGTCACATGATAAGTATATGTTTAACTTTATAGTCTCCCAAATAGTTTTCAGACTGCTTATAATATTTTATATCTCTAACAGAAATGTGTGATAGTTTCAGTTAGTACGTATTGTTGCCAACACTTGGTATAATCAGTCTTTAATTTTAGTTATTCAAGGGTTTTGTGTTGGTATTTTATTGTGGTTTTAATTTGCATTTCCCAATAATTAATAATGTTAAATTATTTTTTCATGTGCATATTAGTCATCATTTATGTATCTTCCTCTGTGTAGTGTCTATTTGAGTGTTTATTAAAAATTGAGTTTTTTTGGCCAGGTGTGGTGGCTCATGCCTGTAATCCCAGCACTTTGGGAGGCCAAGGCGAGCAGATCACAAGGTCAGGAGATCGAGACCATCCTGGCTAACACAGTGAAACCCCATCTCTACTAAAAATACAAAAAAAAAAAAAAAAGAAAAAAAAATTAGCTGGGTGTGGTGGCAGGCGCCTGTAGTCCCAGCTGCTCGGAAGGCTGAGGCAGGAGAATGGCGTGAACCTGGGAGGCGGGGTTTTTTTTAAATCTTTTTCTGGTTGAATTGGAAGAGTTCTTTATATATTCTGAATACCAGTCCTTTATCACATAGATAAATTGTGACTATTTTCTTCCATTCTGTGGTTTGCCAGTTTGTTTTCTTGAAGCTATTTTTTACAGAGCACAAGGCTGAAATTTTGACTAAGTCTGATTTATTTTTTTTAAATAATTATGATAGTTTACTAGTTTCATGTCCTGAGTTTTTGTCTACCCAAAATTCATATATATGTTTATGTTTTCTTCCAGAAGTTTTAATATTTTAGTTTTTACAATTAGTTTCAATTTTTACATTCAGTTTCAACTTAATTTGTGTTATTATGTGAGGTTAAGGTGGAATTTTATTTTTTCCATATGGATTTGAAGTTGTTCTAGCATCATTTATTGAAAGTCTATGCTTTACTTATTGAGTGATGGTTGCACTTTGGTTGAAAATAAAGTTACTTTATGTATGTGGGTATATTTCTGGCCTCTTTCTTCTGTTCAATTGTTCTATATGCCTTATACTATCACCAAACTGTTTTGATTATTGTAGTTTTATAGTAAGTATTGAAATCAGGTTTTGTGAATTCTCCAACTTTGTTTTTCCAGATTAATTTGCCTATTATCCTTTGCATTTTTCTCTAAATTTTAGAATCCACTTGACAATTTCTACAAGAATACCTGCTGAGATTTTGATTAAACTGAGTTGAATATATAGATTAATTTGCAGAAAATAATCATGTTCACAATATTGAACTTTTAATCCATGAACCTAGTATTTTTTTTTCTTCACCTATTTAGTTCTCTGGTTACTCTTAGCAGTGCTTTGTAGTTATCAGAGAACAGGTCTTATAAATATTTTGTTGACTTTATCTCTAGTGCATGTTTTTGATGCTATTGTGAATGGTATTTTAAATATCTCAATTTCTAAATGTTAACTGCTAGTATATGATAATAAAATTAATTTTCCTTTTATCTTATTTATGATTTCCTGAAAGCTTGTGAAAATAACTTATAGACTTGGTGCGGTGGCTCACACCTGTAGTCCCAGCACTTTGGGAGGCTGAGGCGGGCAGATCACTTGAGGTTGGAAGTGTAAGACCAGCCTGGCCAACATGGCGAAACTCCATCTCTACTAAAAATTAGCCAGGCGTGGTGGCACATGCCTGTAGTCCCAGCTACTTGGGAAGCTGAGGCGGGAGAATCACTGGAACCCAGGAGGCAGAGGTTGCAGTGAGCCGAGGTCGTGCCACACTGCACTCCAGTCTGGGTGACAGAGTGAGACACTGTTAAAAAAAAATAAGGAAGGAAAGAGAGAGAGAGACAGATAGAGAGAGAGAAGGAAAGAAAGAAAAGAAAGAAAGAAGGAAAGAAAAAGAAAGGAAGGAAAAGAACTTATATTAGTTCTAGTAGCTTTTTTTTTTCTAGATTCTTTGGCATTTTCTGCATACATAATCATCTTATCAATGAATATAGACCATTTTATATCTTCTGTTCGGATATATAGAAGATACAGAATTTTATTTCTTTTCCTTGAGTTTTTGAACTGAATGGGACTGCCAATATAATGATGAATAGGAGTGGTGAGAGTGAAGATCCTTGCCTTTTTCCTGATTCTAGGAGGAGAGCATTCAATCTTTTACCCTTAAGTATGTTGTTAACTGTGGGCTTTTTGTAGATTCCTATTATCAATTGAGGGAATTTACTTGTATTCCTAGTTTGGTGAAAGTTTCTCTTTAAAATCATGAATGGATATTACATTTTTAAAAAGTAGCTTCATGAGTTTATTGAGATTATCGTGTGATTTTTCTTCTTTAGTCTGTTCATATGATGGATTGCATTAATTGGTTTTCAAATGTTATCTATAATAGGGAAGATATGTGTTGTCTGGCCACTAATTAATGTCTACAAGAAATGCTATGTAACATTTAATTGAATTTAAGCTTCTTTTTAATTAAAAAAATTTTTAAGACAGTGTCTTGCTCCATGA